GTTCCATGCAAAAGGTAGTGGTTTGACTGCAACTGATCTCCACAAGCGACACTAACAGCTGCGGTATATGAAAGAAAGAGATAATTTAAGGCGTGTCGTGGCATCGCGGGTCATTATTCCTTGAGCCTTCTTAAAACATAGTTAAAGTCCAACTGTGCACTGTGACCATAAAATGTTGGTCGAAAATCGTCCGGCGCTAATCAATACTAAATAATGTTATCACATCCAGAAAAAAATTCATGTATACTTAAACTAAAAAGAAAAAAAAACACTAGTAAAAATGTTTGTCTGTTCTCGCTAAACGGATATAGCCACCTGAAATTTAGCCAACATTGACGAGGAAAACATTCTCTTATTTTTTTTCGAAAAACTTTCAAATGAATACCTGGGTCATTTTACTGACAATCTATCGAAGTGATAAATGGTAATAAGTCAGTGCAAATAATCACGAATAAACACTTAAATAATATTTAATTGTACTTTATTAGTAGACAAATAAAGTTCATGAATAAAAATGTAACTCTCTTATGACTCAAAGTAATAATGCCAGTCCACACAGAGTTAGTCAAAGCTTTGACAACTAAAACTGAACGGAGGTGCTCTGAACGTGTTATGGACTGACATTGTTTAAACTTTGATATAAAGATGAACATCGTGCGAAACAAAAGATTACAGATGTGTCAATAGTGACAGCAAGATCTTTGATCAGTTTGGGCATTTCTTTCCCAGATACCTTTGCGAAACATTGGTTTTACAAGGAGACAAGCCACACACGTGCAAAGAATAGGTACTTGAGCTATCTGCTGGCATGTGTTATCTATCGCTCCAAGAGGCAATGTATCCTATATTCTCCCCTAAGATAAATCAGGTAAAAAGAAACCTGAAGAAAAATATCCGATTGTGTCTATTGATGCAGCTTTAGGTTTTCTACCGAAGAATTTCTAATAGAGCCCTGGAAGTCATAGACAACAGACAACATCACAATATGTTTGATTCTTTACACTATTACACTGGAAAGAAAGAATGTTAAGATTCATGACTTCACTCCCGCGATTGTACTTAGTTATGAGGAATCAATAATATAGAATAATAATTTCCACCAACTAAAGAATATGTTTTAAAATATGACAAGAAACTAATCTACAGCGTGTCCCACAAAAAAACAGGATATTTCATATTACTTATATGATGAAAAAAAGTAAAAAACATAAAAAAGAACTATGTATTTTACTACAACGTTGTGCAAATTAATTGAAACAAAACGATTAATTTCGTTATTATTTACATTTTTTGTGCATGTGTTAGTAGTCCCTTGCATATTAACCACAGATTATCGATTGGATTTAGATTAGGAGAGATTCCGGGCAATCTATAGTAGTTTGATTTGCTCATTGGTAAGTCTTGCCAGTGTGTTCTTACAGCATTACAATTTTGTTACGCTTCCTTGGAGTAACGGTCGTCGCAGAAAATGGCCATAGGACAATTAATCGACAGTGGAGAGAATACTGTCTAGACGTAATAAAAATCAGATGCAATCACGGATAACGCAATATTTTTCTAAGCCAAATAAATTTCATCATAGACCCAGAAACTAGATCCATATTACTGGATACTAATGCCAATGACCTAATCCGTTTTTCTTTTTTATCGTTTCACCCCAAACAAGGCGGGAAGCCACTAACACGCAACGGGTTACAGGATATGAGCGAGAGCATAGCAGGAAGGATGAAGAGAAGGATAGGGGATAGATCAAGGCATCTGGAGACGTCGATTGACATTACATTTGAAAGGGTGGGGAATATAGAAATCAGGGAAACAAGAAAAAGGGAGGGTGTTCCATATAAGAGAGGTGCGAGACATGAAGCTGTTGGAGTAGAAGCGACGGCTACATGTAACAGTTTCGACAGTGAAAGGTTGACAGCGAGATGCCAGCCTAGTAGAACTTAAATTCATGAAGTCTGGGAACCAGCGAAAGCAGCTCATCGGAGCATTTACCTTGAAAGTATTTGTAAAAAAGGGACACGTCTGTGAGAGAGCGACTGCAGACAAGATGCCCGATCAGGGCCAATATAAATTACATATCCGTCTCTGGATTTTATCAAGGACCTTGAGACAAACAGAAGGGGTTCCAGACCATATACGCAGCAATACTCCATGCAAGGGCGAATAGCTGATTTGTAGATTTGAAGGATCGACTCCGGGGAGAACAATTTTCTGGCTCGGCTCAGGGAGTTAACTTAGCTTGCGGTGGACGAAGCTATTGACTAAATGTATTGTAGAAAAAGTAGAAATCGATTACATCCTGTCATGCCAATGGGTCTAACCGTGACCGTATTTTGAAAGAAAGGAAACTAAAGCGGATGTTCAATTAATTTGTACAAGGGTGTATATGAATAAAATAAAAATTACTAACATGAATTTTTTTTTTACTATTTGTTATTCCAGGATAAAGCAGTTACCAAATTAACAACACGCGGTGATTGTTATGCTTAAAACCACATCCAACTTGGGGACTGGCTGTTTTAGTTTTAACATCACATATAACATCTGTTTTTGTTGTTTTAAACACCTAATTTTCCCCAAATTTCCTTTATTTATTTTGTATATTAATTCCTGCAGGAGTTTGGCGAATATAGCTCAACACTTATTTTTCTGTAATTTTTTCGCATTTGATATGCCCTGTGAGTATCACGGCCTCTAAGCACATTTTACGAGAGTCCCTTCTGTTTCTATTTTCCTTAAATCTCCTCTTGTTGTATTCTCATAATTACGTCATTGTTAGCTTCTCTTCAATGACGGAATTCTACAGGACCTATTTTCCTAGATGTCTGATATTACATGGAGTATGTGTTTAATATTTTTCTGTTAATTCTTCGTGAATATTTTCGAAGGCAGCTAGCGCGAGATTTGTTTCGATAAAGGATGTATTACATTGTGGCGATGTTATTGTAACGTTACCATTAAGTGTTTTCCTAACCATAGCCTCACCGCCTATACCCATTTATAGAAGACTATATTATCTTGCTTTAGAAGATATTAAATGTAAGGTATAAAACAATTAAGAATTTCTAATTTAAGAATTTCTAATATAGAGATTAGAGTGAAGAACGTTTTGATGCCTTCTTGTAATTAATCAATTTTCTATTAATTTAAGGAAAAACGTTATCTCGTTCGCTGTAATTAATAATACATTTTGGGGACGAAATTAAGTAGCATATTAAATAAATGCGATCGTTTAATTTTTTATTTTACTTAAAGCAAAGGTACCAAAATAATGATGTGAGAGCGTTCAAAAGCAACAACTAAAATAGATAAACAATGTTAATGAGATTGTCCTTGCAAAGAAAGTCACCAATACTAGAAAAAGCGACAATAATTTGTACACTTGAGGAAGTTATTTTTCGAAAAGTCTTAAGATTTTGCAAGTTTCTGTTCAGCTGGAATATTAAATAAAAAAAAAAAAAAAAAAAAAAAAAAAAAATCCAAGTGTATCAATTTGTATTAGTTTTCTATGCAACATGTCTACCTAAGCTGGTAATTACCTTGCGAAGTTAAGACTTTTGACATCGGGTCAATTTTTATGAAGACTCGTTTTGAATAATGTCAAAATTAAAGAGGTACCTGGTTACTAACGATATCATTAACATTTCCCCTAAAAGTGATGCAATTTGACAAGTCTACATTTCAATTGATTGAAATGCGCAAATCATCCTTTAAGTACTTGTCGATCAAAATTTTATTACGCTTCGATTATTGAATAATCGATCACATTTTTCATCCAAATCAGGAAAGCGAAATAAATTACAAAGCGTAAAGGAATATCTATTTATGAAATTGAACAAATTTTAACAGATTTGAAGTAATTGAAGAGAAATTAATAATATTGGCGTTAATTTAAAGATTAAAACCAGAAAATAGTTAAGGCTTATTAACGTAAAGCTAACAGCAAGAAGATCATTTACGCAAAAGTCATATGCTTTTGTCTGCCGAAAAAAGTCGAACAAATGTCACTCTTTTGAAGACAAAAATAACGTGTTGCAAACAGGTAGATTTAACAAAGTACTAGATCTAACGAAGTACAGTGTAATCCGGATATAAGAGAGATTTTCTCTGGTCCCAAATTAGAGCCCGTGTTAATGTATATAAATAGACCAAACCCGGATATAAGAGGCTTCTCCGATCCCGATAACTCTTATAGCCGGGTTACACTGTATGTCACTTTAATAGTTCGGTTAGTCAATTCATTGTTGCACATCTCCGCAAGTTTGTTAAAGAAAAAATATTTTAGTAAATAAACTGCGATTTTACAGTTCAGTCATAAATATACGCACGTCAAGATATAACATTAAAAGATTTAGGTTAAGCAGAGAAGAAATGTGCCTAATATATATATATATATATATATATATATATATATATATATATATATATATATACAACACACACGCAGTTAATATCAAAGGAACAAAATTGAAACATTGTATATTTTCAGAAAGATTTTGGCAGACAAATAAAATACAAGACGCAAGTTTAAGAATTATCAACATTTATTAACATTGTAGACATTTTCAATTCTTTGAAGGACCAATACTTTTCAATTCATAAATTCAATTCGGTTTTAAATTAATACGATTACTGAAGAATTTAACATTTGAGTAAATAAGTTTTAATTATAGTTCAACATTATGTTAAAAGAAAATTTACGTAAATTAAGATTTCTAGTTAATTTAGGTTAGAATTCAAAGACATTTCGAGGCAGATCAACCCCAGCTCCCACATTTACGTAGCATTTGTTTTAGTAAGTAAATATTAGTTTTTATAAAAAAGGTCTTAAAATAATCAGTTTCATGATCCGATTACATTTGACCTTTGATTTTAAATAAAAATTAGGAGTTCTGCTATTTGTTCTCTCTAGAGTAAACAGGATAGATTATTTCGTTCACTGAATTCATTAATCTGGGATTTCATTAGATTAAGTGCAGATCAAAATGTATTACTCTTTAGAAACATTTGCGGTGAACGATAGACGGACCAGATTCGTCATATTCCTGCTTGCTGATCCACATCTGCTGGAAGGTAGACAGGGAAGCCAAGATGGAGCCACCGATCCAAACCGAATATTTACGCTCAGGAGGAGCTATGATTTTTATCTTCATCGTAGTGGGAGCCAGAGATGTGATTTCTTTCTGCATCCGGTCAGCAATTCCAGGGAACATAGTGGTACCACCGGACAATACGGTGTTAGCGTACAAATCTTTTCTGATGTCGACATCGCATTTCATTATGGAGTTGTAGGTTGTCTCATGGATTCCTGAGGACTCCATACCCAAAAAGGAAGGTTGGAAGAGAGATTCTGGAGATCTGAACCTCTCGTTACCAATAGTGATTACCTGACCATCAGGCAACTCGTAGCTCTTTTCAAGGGAGGAAGACGACGCAGCTGTTCCCATGTCATGTTCAAAATCAAGAGCGACATAGCACAATTTCTCCTTTATGTCACGCACAATTTCCCTCTCAGCTGTAGTTGTGAATGAATAACCACGTTCAGTTAGGATTTTCATGAGATAGTCAGTAAGATCACGTCCAGCCAAGTCAAGACGGAGGATAGCGTGGGGGAGGGCATAACCTTCATAGATTGGTACGGTATGGGTGACCCCATCACCCGAGTCAAGGACAATACCGGTTGTACGACCAGAAGCGTACAAAGAAAGGACAGCCTGGATGGCAACATACATGGCGGGGGCATTGAAGGTTTCGAACATGATTTGAGTCATTTTTTCCCGGTTAGCTTTGGGATTTAAAGGCGCCTCTGTGAGAAGGACAGGGTGTTCTTCAGGGGCCACACGGAGTTCGTTGTAGAAGGTGTGGTGCCAAATTTTTTCCATATCATCCCAATTGGTGACAATACCGTGCTCAATGGGGTATTTCAATGTGAGAATTCCTCTCTTACTCTGGGCTTCGTCGCCAACATAAGAATCCTTTTGACCCATACCAACCATGACACCCTGAAAGAGAAAAGTTTTGTTATAGAACGTACTATATTGACAGGCATGGGAAGAGAGTTAACAGAAATTTATGGTTACGGACAAGTTAGAAATATAGCATTAAAAAAAATAAAAATAAAAAAATAAAGCAAACAAATCCTCAAGGAAACATTTTCTGATCAAGTCATGTTCCTAATATATAGGTAATATTTCGTTTATCAATAAAAATGTTACATTAATGGCAAAGACACTAAAATGATTACAGATATCGTAATGTAGTAAGAGAAAAAAATGTTTTACTTCATAAATTCAAGTTATCCAACTTGAAAGTAACTAACTGCAATTGGACTAGTAGTTTACTTACAGGAAAAAAGTGTTAATTTATTATGACCAACCGATGTGGTAAAAGAATCTCAAAAGTGGACCCCCCCTTTGTACAGGTTAATTGTGGGGGCGGGGGTCAAACCATAGCAGATACAGTTTAGTATTATTTCCTGCTCCTTTAAAAGTGCATACAAGAGAATAGACTTTTGTCGAAATCACCCCCACCAACATATCACATAGGTTAGAGGTATCAATAAATTTATGACTTGTCCGAGAGTCAACAAATTCCTGTTCGTCCTTACCAAGGGGAACTGAAACAAACGATAAAAGTTTATTTCAATTAAAGTTAAGTGACGTTTATTCAAAAATGGGTAAACCTTTCAGATTATGAAGTTTATTTTTCCCCAATAAAAAAAGGCTATTAAGTCCAGTTTTTTTTTTTTTATTCTGCGAGTAAAAAAATTCGAAAATATATTGATGATCTTCGAAAAGAACTTAGCAGAGAAACGAGTAATCACGTTTGCTATAATCTAAAGCCTTGAATTAGCAGAACTAGACCTGTTCTGACAAGTAGAGAATGAACAATAGATATCACAGATCAGCCAAGTTGAGATTAAAGATTATAATCAGCGGGAAATTGGCCAAATCGTTACATTTTGATTAATAAGAACGAAAGGAAAAAGTCAAAAGTTAAATTAAAGTCTTAGGCTGTCAGAGATTCTTATTCAAGTAAAGTTCAACGAGTAGTGCAACGCAAAACTTAATTACAAGTCAAACCTATGGTGCAGTTAAAAGAAACGAGAATGAGAGAGAAAAAAAAAGAATTAAAAAAAGATACTTTTCACTTACTTGATGCCTAGGTCTACCAACAATAGATGGGAAAACCGCTCGTGGAGCATCATCTCCGGCAAAACCTGCTTTGCACATACCAGAACCATTGTCAACAACCAAAGCAACAACTTCGTCGTCACACATATTGATAATTTAGCTATGGCCGTGTCAAAATTCGTACTGACTGTTATCTGGTTAGATCGTTTGCTACAAGCAGTTGCTGGCCGAACACGTCACCTGCCTCTTTTTATCCAACTCTGCTATGCATTCCCATTGGTTGGCATAAATCATCGCCAAATATGGTCATAACCTCCCAGCGGAACTTCCGGCAAAATTCGTCTCAGCCATATTACACGCGTTTACAAAATGAAGCAACAGATACGTTGTCAATTTTTAATCTTTTTTTTTAATTTTTAATATTATTGTTTTTATTCCCCCTCCGCCCACAGACAATATTTATACATATGGGGGACTCTTTAGAATTTTCATTGAGACAATGAGGCATTTGGACACTTCGCCGTGGTGCAATGGTTAGCAAGCTTGTCTCGCTAGAACAATTACGATTGAATAGTGAGTTCAATCCTCACTGGGTGCCCGTTACTTTAGGCATTGTGCCACATGCAAGTTACGCTTGGAAAATCATTATGGCCTCTTTTTTTGGTTATGATCCAGCTTGAGATTCCCAACCTCCCCAGTTTGTTTTTGAGCCTTTTTTTTATATCGACTGGGTCAGCTTTATATTTGCCCATGCCCGTATGATTTTTTATCCTTTTTCTTAATCCTTTAGCGAGAGAGCGTCTTGATTTTGTCCCATGGCCAGAATGCAACGGCCTCTCTGTTTTGAGGTTTGGACGGGCCCTACTATCATCACTTATGTTTAATTTAATTTGTGTTGATATTTAGTTTATTATTGGGTTCATCTCCCTCCCCTCTCATTCTTCAGTATTAGAATTTTATGTATGATATTTATCATCATTAAATTTTTTATGGTATGGGGCGCGTTTTGTCTAGGTTCCCCTTGAGAGGATGTGGTGTTATCGGACATGGAGGATCGATTGGGTCGGGAATCGGATTAGCTAGGTATAAGATAGTTGTACCAGCCTCAACCCCCTCCCCATTTTCGACCTTGTGCCACAATTATATACTTGTACGTAATAAATATTGAGACAATGAGGTATTTTGGTGGATGTAGTAAGAAAGGTTAGTATGAATGTGTTGTTTTGGTGGTAGAAATATTGTTTTGCTTGATTGAGACAGTGGTTGTGGCTAGCTAAGTTTCAAAATTAAGACAGATGATGACAGTCCTTACCCAAACCCTCTTTTTAGGCCTTGTGCCACATTTTCTGTTTTTACGGAAGTAAATATCCCCCCCGCACAGACAATAAATTGTACATATGGGGACTAGTTAGTATTTCCATGGAGACATTGAGGTATTATGGTGGTTGAGGTAAGAATGGTAAGTAAGAATGTGCTGTTTTGGTGAAAGGAATATTGTTTGTATGCCTGGGTCAGTGATTGTAACTAGCTAAGTTTAATCTTAAGACAGCTGATGACCGTCCTTTTCCCCAATTCACCTTTTTGGCCTTGTGCCATTTTTGTACAGTTTACATACAATAAATATAGTAAGGTATATTGTTAGTATGATTGGGTCAGCGTTTGTGGCTAGCTACGTTAAAAGTTAAGACAGAAAACCGACCACTTCCCTCTTCCTCATTTTGGCCTTGTGTCTAATTTTCTGGAATTTCTGAAATAAATAAACTTTTTTTTTCTTTTTAGCAAACAAAGCTATAATACTCTTATATTGCATTAACTGAATGGGTCTTGATTATATAGGATACTTACTGAATACCAGCCCACTTTGCATCGGCTTTGAGCCACACTTATTATATTATTTACAAATAATACATATACTATAGCAATTATGATACACCAATGTGACACTCGGCAAGTTTTACAGGACTACCATTTTTGTCAGATACTTAAAAGGTGGAGCAATATTTCATTTCAGGAAACAATCCGTGAAAATTAGAGGAACAAGATAGAACAGTGGAATAAATTTTTTTTTGCAACCCTCATAATAGCAATTCTTACTAATTTGATTCATTTTTTCTTTTACTAAGTTATTTATACAGCTTAACCCCAGCAATAATTAGTTCCACCTTTCTGAAATTTATTACAAGGAAAGTGAAAATAAAAAATGTTGGCATCTTAGTTCAACCACTTAGGTATTGTAATCTTACGATTTTATTTTTATTTAAAAAACACACACACACACTGAAATGTTAGTTTCTTTCACAATGATTGACCGTCAAGTTTTATTTATAGGTCTCTCTATTTCCCTTTTTTTCATAAAAGAAAAAAAAATAAACCTGCGTTGAAATAGTTTCCCGCTGACTCTAAATTGTATTTCAGACAAAAAAAAAAGAAAGCGTAACCTCTCTTCATTGACGAGTAATCATTTTCTGCTATTTTTCTATAAAGCAAACAGCAAAATAAAAATGTGTTGCATAATAAATTATTTCCCTTACAGGTTTTATTATAACAAATTTCTTATTTCGATAATGATTAAATTTTTAAAACTTGTTCTTAAATATTCATTTTGATAGAGCTTAAGGTAACAAGTCACGAACAAAAATATGCAATGTTTAATACCAATCATTAACCAAAGGTAGGATTGCTGAGACGGGCAGTCTTGTCCAATTAAATGACGATAAAATTGTGTTTGAGAAGTTAAGGAAGTTTTACGTTTTCCTTTTAATCACGAATGATGCATTGGAATTATTAATAACCGTTTTATCTTAAATATTTGCTAATCAGATAAACACGTGTTGAAATTTCTCCTCGAATTGTCAAGCAGCTCTCTATTTATGGAAAGATATTTTGGGAAATTGAGCTTCACTTTTTTTAACCAGCTCATACAGAAAACGCTGAAGATATTGAAGAAAATCAGCTGCTTTAAGTAAAAAATGTTTGCGTTTAACAAATTAATAAGTAGTCTAGATTATTTTTTTTAATATTCCTCTCAATTCCTGTAATTTGTTACGATTTGGAACAATTAAAACTTCGTAAATACCATAAGAATAGATTACAATCGAACGCCTAGATATAGAGGAAGCGGGTGACTTAGAATAAAGTAAAAAGACTATTTAATTGAAATCATTTACAATATTATCCCTCAAGCGTAGGAACTTTAACCTAAAGTCTTTGTCAATATGCCTTTTCATTTCTGCACATGTGATATTTTAGTACACCTGTTGCAACAGAAATCAATTTTGTATAATGCAATTAATTCGGAACATAAATTCTGTTACAAAATGTGCATTCCTATAAATTTCCAACCTGTATTCTCTTTCATCGAGGAGACAGATATTGATGCAATGCTATACAGATCTATTTTTCCATTAAAACAAAGGAAAAATTCATGATAAACCATGTTTCAATAGCCAACTTAAGGGATAAACATATATTGTTAGCAGAATTTAGTATGTTTTTCATACCCTAAATGTAAAGAATTTGTAAGCAGCTAATAGATGTTTTTCTTGATCCGATATTTATTACAAATGATCCATTACATTAATTTGTAATAGTTCAGTGCTTAAAATAAAATATCAAACATATGAACCGAGAAGAGATAACGTTTACAGTAATAAAATCTCTTATTAAAGTAATGTCTATCACTTGCTAAAGGTTTTTAAGGGAGTTCAGCTTTAGTGATTTATAAGATTTTAACACCACTAAACTTCATGAAAATTGGCTACTGAAGAATTATTAGTTTCACAGACTGTAATTAAATTGTCTTGAGTATTTGTTTTAATTTATTCCAAGGGATCCCCCACGCTATATATTCCGGTGTTATTTGA